ATTTTTACTCTACCCCAAATCTAGGTGAGCCTTGGCCACTCTGGTAGGTTTAGGCCGCAGATAAGTTTCTAGGTGTATTTAGTTATATGTCTGAGTTCTAATCTAAGCTCTAGCATAAAAACATGTTCAGATTGTGGTAACAAGAAAAAAAAGAAGAATTTTGTCATTTATATAAAGGTAACCCACAATATGAACATGCAACCTGTAACACATGCAATCTTAGACATAAGAATGCGTGAAAAAAAATAGACCAACTAACAAGAAAAAAAACAAAGCTTGAAGCTAGCTTAAATATGCCAATGCCAAGCATTAATACCACAGTAACTCAGACAAATAATAATTCTAGCAGATCTCTTTCTGACCTTGTAGGTCTTGAATTAGATGATGATATTCCTCAAGAACTGTCTTCAGAATCTTTAGAAAAAGTTAATGAGAATGATAACATAAACGGACTTCTTTATACCTTAGATGAAGTACAAGAACTCATTGCTAGGCAGTTCTGAGATTTAGAAGATTCAGATGAACTAGTAAAATTAATCTTCAAAATTGAGTTGGATTCAAGACTTGTTAAAAATATTTTTTTGAAATGAGAATCCCAGTTTGATGCACAAGATCTAAAAGCAATTAGAGAAAGCTTTCATCAACTTGCCAACATACTTCTCTTACCATTTGAATATAGATCTGGTTACTATTGGGAGGTGTGAAAAATATATCTTAACACTAGTAAGAAAGAACTTGCTGGTTGTGCCACTGTATATTTTGGATGTACACAACGTGAGGACAGACAATGGCAGAGGCCTGAAAATACACCAGTGAAATGAAAAAGTGAAATCCATCCTCAAATAAATAGATATGCATGTATGGGAAATATGATATTTACTATTGATCCACAAAAACAACATGCAATTGTTTAATGCAGCCATCAATTAGCACACGAGCATCCACAGTATAGACAGGTTGAGTTTCCAGCTGCAGCGAAAGAATGAATTAGAGATAACATTAAATACAATTTACAAAGCTCTAAATTATATGAGCTTCTTTAACAGTATAAGCTTATTAATATTAATATACACACAAAAGAACAAGTGTATTATTGTGTAACAATTTTTAGCAAGCAAACATATATGTTCGATCCAACAGATCAGCTCTTATCAGAGAAAAAATATCTTGAACAACAACAAGGCTTCAAAATTACCTACTATGTAAAAAATAGTTTTGTAAAAGCTATTGGGTTTACTACGCCATTGTTAGAACATATTGGTATTAAAAATTTAAAAGAAATTATCATAGATTCTACCTTTAAAACCAACCAAGAACAGTTTGAATTGTTCGTAGTAAATGCTAACCATAGGGGGTATGGAATGCCACTAGCATATTTGTTTCTTTTGATGTGTGATAGAACAGAAGAATCATATAATAATCCAAAAAACACAACCTGCACACGTGTACAAGCCCTACGTGAGTTTTTTAGTAGTCTTCGGAATGAGGGATTATTGCCAGCCTTTGTTCTATTAGATAAAGATGCAGGAGAAATATCAGCAGTAGAAGAGGCTTGGTCGTGAATAGCAAATATACAATTATGTTACTGGTATTTAGATCATACAATTAGATGATGCCTAAAAGATAAAAAACCAAAAGCGTCAGGTTATTCAAAAGAAAAAGCAGCTGAAGCCTCCCATCAGTTTGATTTTATTGACCCTTCATGGTTTCCAGAAAACAAGATTGGAAGCTTGTGTTCTGATGATCAAATTAAAAAAATTGTAAGTATGGTTAAACGGCATGCAAACATGCACCCATTAATTCCAATAGCAAAAAACACATTTTTGAATTCTGTACAAATATATTGATTTTGTATGCAAGAGGTATATCAATGCTGCCGGGCTGATAATCTTCTCTATTTGTAGAGCTATTTGTGGATAAACTGGTACAACAGGAAGGAATAGAAATTGTTTGCTCGTTCAGCTTATTTACAAGCAATTCTTCTAGCCTGTACAACAATGATTACTGAAAGCCACTGGCAAGTAATCAAATATAAATATAAGTATACTTATAACAGACCTCGTCTAGATTGGCTTACACAAATTCTTGCAGAGCAATTAATACCAGATTTTGACCTAAAGCTAACCCATTATAATACAAACTGTAATCTTCTGTCATGGTGGCAAGCATTTCAGAGTAATTGGGATAAATATGCTGCTGCAAATATTGAATTTGGTATGGATGAAAGATACCATATCAATATAATTAACTGGACATGTTCTTGCCCAGTGTACCTGCATAGTCCCTATCTATTGTGCAAGCATTTAGTTGCTAAAAAAAACAGAATTCATTTTTTACCAACATTTAAGAAAACAATGCATCGACATGATTATCCCCTACTCATTTTCGATGCTGATACAACAATACCAACGATTTGCCAAGAAAATGATCCCTGGGAGATAAATAAGTTGAATCTAATAGATAATACAGAAGAACCATCTATGAGTTTTAGCAACTTACAAAATGCAATATTAGAGACAAAAAATAATACAATAGATCAAGCAAAAGAGAAATTAGCGTACTATAATAAGATTTTTAATTCAGCATTAATGTTGTACGAAAGAGAAAAAACCAATGATCAATTCGTAAAGAATTTTGATATCCTTTTGAAGCCATTTGCCAAAGCCATTGAGGAATGCGAAGAAAAACTAAATGCCCACACACAGCAAAAAACTTGGGACCCAAAAAATGGGAAACTTTCTTTCTGGTTGCATTGACGGTGTGGATCTTTAAAGTTAAAAGATTACCTGATTCTTACTCAACGATATTTGTGACTTGAGTCTTGATATACTGAGATCTTAATTTTCTAGAGTAGTATTAGTTTAGCTTTCTTTTAGTTATTAAAAGCAAATAAAATGTTACTTATCTGTTTATAAATTATATAACTGTAAAACCGTCTCTATCACTATTATTATTAACTATATGTATGGTAAATTTGATTAGTACTTAGTGTACTGGTAGGTATAAAATTACATTAGCAGTTTAAAAATAAAGCTCAATAAATATTTTTTAAAACCAGTATTCATAATCTTGTACTTTCGAAGATGTTAATATAATAAACTTTATAGTTAGTGACTGATAATTGAAATCTTAAAAAATTTTTTTTAGCTCTCAATAATGATTAGCTGGAAAGTATATTATTGATTTTTAATCGAGTTGTAGATCAGTAGGTCGGAAGTGATCGTTATCATGTGATAGTAGGTTTTTTTCGCCATGGCTAGGGTACTATACTGGTATGCCAGCTTTTTTTAAAAAATTAGATAGTTATAAAAAACGCAACAGTACTAAATCGTTATGGATTAATTTGTTAAGAAGTAAACATATAGATTTAAATGAAACATTAAAAATTAAACCAGATAGTAGTGGCATTAAATAATCATGTATTGACTTTCAAAATAATAAATATTAGGAATTACTTTCATGTCTAAATAGGGTATTAAAAATCATCCCAAGTAATGTAACAGCATTAAATAATTGTGAATTAACTTATTAAGAAATAGATAAATATGAGGAATCACTTGTGAATTCAAATATATCATTAGAAATTGAAGTAGATAGAATTAGATAATCATGAGTACAAAATTGTTTGGATTAAATAGTATTAGAAATCGTTTCAAGAATTAATAGCACTAATAATCACGGGTAAAATAGAAGAATCATTTGCAGATTTAAAAATTGAATAAATAATGTAGAATATTATAATCTAATAATATAATTTATATGTGTATTAAGAGAATTACTCGTAGTATTATGAAATTAGGATTAAATAGTGTTTTTTGTCTGATTTAATACAAATTTTCAAATTTAAATGTAATAATTTTATTTATTGATGTAAATAATCTTTTTTTTTTTTTAATGTTAAAGGTGAGACCATGCTCTTATTTTTATTAAACTTAATGAAAACTTTTTACATAATTGGAAAAGGTTTTATAATTTAAGCTTATTGCTAAGAATAAGAAC